AGGCTACAAGCTGTACATTACCTTTGAGGTGACTCGCACCGTTTGTGCACCGCCTTGTAGCCAGAAATCGGGATGCGTCTCTCGGAAGTACCAATGCGATGTTCAGATAGTGGAGTTCATGAAGCAGTACAAACTGGAAAGTCTGTCCTGCAAATCAATTGATAAGGCGGATGAAGCGGATGAGGAGGCGACAAAGAAGCACCTCGCTCAGGCGCCGGCACTCGGCTGCGGACCACGTGATTAAAATTACCATTGTTTAAAATTTTGTAAAAAAATTGTTTTTGCTGCAATTAGTTAAATCAAGTTAAATTAGTTTTTAATAAATTATGTCAATTTAGTTTATCTTTTAATGGTTTCCACTTTTAATTACAAAAAATTAGTTGTGTTAGAACTAATTACTGATTTTACGTTTTTTTGTACTATGTTGGTTTGTTAAAAATTGAAATGTTTAAAAACAGTTTTAAATCTTGGTTTTTACTTTGAGTACAAAACTAAAAATCTGAATTTAACTAAAAATGCAGCAAAATGTTTTAAATGTTCAAAATGACCTTCAAACCTGATTTTTCTGTTTAAAAATTGCAATTATAACTAAATTTTCTTGTTAATTGATTTCAACTAAAAAATTGATTGAAACTTTGTTGCAAATCTTCCAATAAAAAAATGAATAAAAAAAACTCAAACTTGAAAACTCAAACTATCAAAAACTTAAAATAAAACTTTAATTTTGAAAATGAAATTGATTTTTCACTTAGCAATCTTTTTGGCCTTTTATCTCTCTTTCAGTTGTGCAACTGAAGAGGTTGAAGAGAAAGAAGTACCCATATATGGTGGCGTGACCAAACTGTCCACCGACGATCCTCAACTACTTCCGGCACTGAAAACAATCGAAAACAACCGTTTTGAAAAAGCCATCCGTACTCGACCCAAAGGGTTCCACTCTGGCCGGGCCAGTTTTAAAATACACCGAATCATTGCTGCTGAGGGACAAATCGTACAAGGCTACAAGCTGTACATTACCTTTGAGGTGACTGGGACCTTCTGTACGCCGTTTTGTAGCCAGAATCCTGGATGCGTTTCTGGGAAGTACCAGTGCGACACTCAGATAGTGGAGTTCATGAAGAAGTACACACTGAAAAGTCTGTCCTGCAAATCAGTTGATAAGGCGGATGAAGCGGATGAGGAGGCGACAAAGAATCACCTCGCCCAGGCACCGGCACTCGGCTGCGGACCACGTGATTAAAATTATTACTGTTTAAAATTTTGTAAAAAGAGGAGTTGTTTTTGCTGCAATTATTAGTTAAATCAAATTAAATTAGTTTTAATAATCAAAAAATTAAAATTAAGTTTCATTGGATTGACACCTTTCATAGTTCATTGCTGTTTTCCTGCTTTTCTGTTTTGCAATTGTTCCCAGGAAAAACAGCCAATTTACTTTCATAACATTTTCATTTGATAATCATTGCAAAAAACTGCAATTAACATTTGATTAGAGGTTTCAAACAACAAATAAAAAATTCAGCATATAAAAACATTTTGATTTGCAACTAAATAAATAAAACTTTGGTAAAATGAAACTCTTTTATTTTAACTTTGCAAAGTTAATTTTTTTCATTACACTTCATCATGCGGTCTTATCTAAAACATTTTCCCCTGACCCACTAACCCCAATAACCACTCAAACTACCGCTCCCGCAACAACCACAGTGACCGGCCCTTTGGAGGCTATCATCCAGCCTGACGATGACAGCCACTTTCAGTCGGCGCTCAACCAGCTGCGAAGCTTCTACTCGACTCAGCCTTTGACCTCCCAAAATGGCTATGACGATGAGGAGGAGGCGTCCAAACACTTTAGACCCGGTGAAGACTTCAGTGCCGACTACACCATATTTGACTTTCGCTTTGGAAAACTTCGCTCGGTGAAAAGGGGCAAAGAAGGTGGTGGTGGGGGAGGAGGAGGAGAAGGTGATGATCAACAGCAAAACTCCACTGGAACCTACTACGTCGTAGACTTCTACCTGCTGGAGGACTACTGCGTGGAGAGGGGCTGCCTGTCAGGGTGCACCTCCCAGGTGGACGCCTGTCAAGTCACCCTCTTTGTTCCGAATGACCAGCAAGACCAGGATCACCCTGACCAGGACCAGGACCAGGACCAGGACCAGGCTGACCACTTTGAGGCTGCTGTCAATAAGGTCGACTTTCCCGTTAGTCTGCTGAACGTCGCCTGCAACATTTCCACCCACACAAGGATAGGCTCATGGGAGGACCACAAGGCCGGAGAGGCGCTGATGAGGCGTGGCCGCCAGATTTGGTGGAGAGGGAAGAAAAGGGAACTAGAGGAGGAGGAGGCAAGGGAGGGAAAAAAGAAAAAGAACGAAGAGCTGTCCTCGGTCTGTGGCCCTCCTCCTAAACATAAAAATTCTTCGTCATCTTCTTCTTCTTCCTCTTTATTATCGGCTCAAAGCGGCAAACCACAACCGAAACAACAGCCTCCTTTCAAGCTGTCTTACGCTTATGACTTTGACCCGGAGGCGGCCACCGGGCCTAGATTTCCCATCCCAGCAGACGACCCGGACCTTCTGAGGGCCGTCCAGCGCATCAAGGGCCGGTACGATCGGAGTCTGGACCGCGGCAGCGCCTGGGCCAACAGCAGTACCCTCCTAAACTCCAAGAAGAAGAAGAAGAAGAAGAGGCCACTTCCGTGGTCTTCGCTGGAGTTCCGCCTAGAGTCGCCGCCGTTTTTCTACGCAGAGAAGGGCGCCGTTTCCGGTGGCCAGAGCGGCGCCCTCTACAACGTTGCCTTCCACCTGAGGGAGGCGATGTGCCAGGGCTGCCGCCCAGAGGAGGACTGCTTCTACTACCTGAACACCTGCCGGGCGACCCTCTGGGACATGGCTGACGAGGGCGTCACCTATAATCACACCAAACTGCTGAACATCGCCTGCAGCAAGGACCAGCGGAGGCGACCTTGGAAAGAGGAAGAGGGAAATGAGAGCATCAAGTTGAATGCGCTGAAGGAAAATTGCAAAGAGGAGGAGGTGGAAACGCCGACTACGCCGAGTGGGGAATGAAATCGGCTGGGTGGCAATGATTAAATTTACACGCTTTTTTCAAACCAACAAAATTGTATTTTAAAATGTCTTTATTAAAAAAACAGTAAAATAGACAACTACCACCACCACCACCACCAGAAAGTCTGTTCTCACAGATACTCCGATTTGATCTTGTAGGTGCCCTTCCAGATCTCACACAGACAGACGGTCGAGTGAAAGCGGTAGAAGATGGTCAGCGGGGTGGAGACGTGCGTGATGATGGTCCAGGCCCAAAATCTATTGAATTAAATAAATACAATAAACAGTTCAGTCAGTAAATTCAATCAGCAAAAAAATAAAAAAACAAATAAACAAAAAACACAAATTAATAAAAATAGTAAAAGTGGGAAAAGCAACCGATTAATATAATGCAAGACAATCTTCTATAAACTGCTGAACTCAAAATCTCAACAAAACAAACAAACAAAAAAACAAAAAATCTCTCTTTTTCACCTACCCATAAAAGCTCATCTGCACCGGGTTCGACTCCGCCCGCCTCGTCTCCAGCGTATTAATCGCCCACATGCTGAAGTTGCACACCAGCAGAAAGGTGACCATCTCCCGGCCTGGCTTCCGGCGGACCTGGTCCGCCGTGCTCGCCTTTCGCTTGCTGGCGTCGAGGATGAAGACCGACTGCAGCATCGACTGAATGAGACAGGCAAAGGCGTTGATCAGCACCAGGCGGGTGTTCTGCAGCTGGCTGATGAACTGCGCCCCGATGATGCTGAACATGGTGAAGATGCAGAGGCCAGATTGGGCGATTATGAGGAGGATGTTGTCCAGCTCGACGCCTCGACGGCGGTTGTAGTTCAGCTCGCGGACCTAGTGTTTTAAAATGGAAGAAAGTTTTGGGCAGTGATTAGATAATAAAAAAAAGTTTTAGTACACTAAAAAGTGATGATTGAAACGTGAAAAGATTTGAGTATATAAAGGTCACCTTTTATGAAAATGCAGAAAAATTTATCGCAAAATTTAAAAATAAAACTTTTCAAAATTAGCTAATAGGTAGAAATTAAAACAGAAAACTAGTAATTAAAATTTACCTTTTTAAAATACATTTGCGAACTCAAAATAACAAATACTGAAACGTCTAGAAAATCAACTGTAAGCAGGTGAACTGATTTAAAAATAATATTGAATTCATTAACTAACAAAAATAAAAATTTAGTTTAGAGGTAACCTTTTTGAATGCCAAAGCGCACTTTCTCACCCAAAAATACTTTCCTTAAAAACAAACTAAAACCTAACCAAACAATGTACTTCCACTAGTTTTCCCTCCTCCCCCCCTTACCTGAAAGAAGGCAATCAGACAGGCGATGGCGTTGATGCAGTAGATAAAGAGCTCCACAATGTGCGCCTGCAGCACCGCCAAATTGCGAAACTGGTCCTTCTTGATGAAGACGAAGAAGAGAATGAGGGAGATGATGCAGATGACCATGAGGAAGATGCCCGTAAAAAGGCCCTTGTGCGCCTTGGCGCAGTCCACCTGATAGTGATGTTTNGCAATCAGACAGGCGATGGCGTTGATGCAGTAGATAAAGAGCTCCACAATGTGCGCCTGCAGCACCGCCAAATTGCGAAACTGGTCCTTCTTGATGAAGACGAAGAAGAGAATGAGGGAGATGATGCAGATGACCATGAGGAAGATGCCCGTAAAAAGGCCCTTGTGCGCCTTGGCGCAGTCCACCTGATAGTGATGTTTCTGGTGGTGGGGCATGTGGTGGTGGGAACTGTGACCAGTGGTGACGTGGCCGTAAATTGAGTGGGATGACTGGTTCTTGGGAAGCAGCCCAGAGGAGGATCGGGTATTTCTGGAAAAAAATGTATTTTAGTAAGTTTTTAGCCAAAGTTTTTAGAGCCCTTACATTTCACTGATGCTCTTCCACATAATGTAGAGAATGGCCGCACAAATTAGACTGTACTCAATGGTGCAGGGAAAGAGAAACTGGCTAGCATCGGTAACGAGTTCCCCAATGATATTTGACCGCCTACAGTCGGAGTGGGTGATGTAGTGGTCGTTCAGAGAGCGAACTACTCGATGCAGTACTGGCTGAGCAGTACTGGCTGAGTGTTCTGAGATTGCCGAGGCGACAGTTGAGGTTGAGGAAAAAAGGGTTTGATTTACTAAGGAAAAAAACAGGAAGTTAAAAAGAGATGGTGATAAATAAAGAAACTGATAATTATCCACACCAATTTCAATCATGTTCGCATGATGACCACCACCTCCACCTCCTCCACCGCCTCCCAAAATCGTTCTATGCGGAACCACCGGATGAGAGCTGACTGAATCGAGATAATCTTCCGAAAGTTCTTCAACCACGTCATCAACGTGGTCCCAGGCATGGGTCAGGTCGAGGCCACTCAGCTCATCAGTACTATTCGTCTCGACCATGGTCATTATCTGGTGCTTCGTCTCCTGAATCAACACGTGCAGCCAGACGCAAATGTTCGTGCCAATCATGTGCATCAGCCCAAAGCGGGCAATCAGTTTGTGGCGGGCAATCACTACACGGGAGTTCATGAAGATAAAGTACAGCTGAATGAAGGTGAAGATCATGTGCGAGCCGGGCGTCAGGCCGTACATGAAGGAGTAGCAGTGCTCCTTTGATTCCAGCTCAAAAAACTGGCCAAACTCCAGCCCCGAGTAGATCATCGAGCCGATGCCAAAGGTGACGGCTCCGACGCGCAGGTAGAAGCTGCCGCACTGGATCTAAAAGTGATGGCGGTAATTGAAATAAAAAAATTTAAAAAAGTTTAAAATTAAACCTGTTTAAGCTTGAATGACCAGGAAAAAAATATAGGTTAGTGTAAAAAAGTTTTTGTGCTTAAAAAATAAGAAATTGTTAAAAATAACCTTTTTGAAAAACTTAGGAGCTAGGCTTGGTAAAGTAAAGTTAGTTGTACACAAGTCTAACTTTGCACAAACTCATAAAACTACCAATTTTAAAAAACACAATTTTTTTACCTGCGTCAAGGGCTCTTCCTCCTCTTCGTCGTCTTCTTCATCTCCATCACCACCACCACCACCTCCGTTACCATTTTCCTCCGAGCCGCTGCCACTTCTTGAATCATCACCCTCATCACCTTCTTCTTCCCCATCTTTATTTTTCTTGGAGGACTTTTTTCCCTTCTTTGATCCTCCTCCAGAAAAAATTCGACAAAGTCGGACGGCACAGTTTCGAATTCGAGACAACCGATTAGCCCTCGCCTGCCGTCGCTTCCGGTTCAGCAGGAAAATGTACACAAAGATGAGAAAGAGAATCGACCCCGTGTAGAGGTAGAGGTAGAAGCCCTCGTACCAGCTGATGGGAATCCGGTGGCTGATCACCTCGGCCATGGGAAAGCACAACCCAATGACGACGATAATCTTGCAGTAGATGGCGCTGAGCAGGGCGACTATTCCGTCGATTGGGTCAAGGTTTGGGTCAACTTGCGTCTGATAAGAGGACCATCGACGGCGAAGAGCTTGCAGGGGAAATTGTTGAACTGGAGGAGGTGGTGGTGGTGGTGGGCCAGTGTCAAAGAGGATTCGCTTTTCAGGAGTTGGAGGAGGTATTTGAGGGAGGTAGCGAACTCCTGCTCCTCCTCCTCCTCCTCCTCCTTGTTGAAGCTGCTTAAGTTCATAGTAGCTTCCGTGAGTTGAAGAAGCTCCTAGGGCATTACTGAAGGAGGACTCTCGGAGAATGCTCGTGGGAACGCTGGTAACAACTACCGGTTGAACTGGATTTGGATTCTGAAGGTGAAGATTCAAGTTCGAGGAAACTGCGTTCTTTTGATTTGAGGAGTACAGTTCCGCCTCTGATTCAGACTGAATTGAGCGAGGATCAAGGTGGGCGATTGGCTCAGTTTTGTCCTTTGAAATCTGCCGACTGGTAAAGTTGATGTCATCGATTGGCTGAGGGTAGTGATAGCGCTGCTGATTTAGCTGATGATTGGTGTTTTTAGCGCTGCTGCCGCTGCTGCTATTGTCGTGGTACTTTTCTGAAGATAGCTCTAAAGAGTCGGTTTGTTGTAGGGTTACTGTGGTAGCAGGTATCTGCTGTGGTGGTGGTAGTGGGCAAAGGTCAGAGGTCAAAGAGGACCGATCGGTGGCACTTGAGGGGAGGACGCTGATGCTGTGGCTGCGTATGCTGGCGTCTAAAAATGTAAAAAAAATAAAAATTTAAAATTGCATTTTTGTAACCTTTTTAGCCCAGATAAAAATTCCGTGCAAATGATTAAAACGCAAATTAAAATTTTAATTAAGTTTAGTTAACCTTTTTTCTTGACAAAGAACTCATGAAAAATTTTTAAAAATAAACACTGGCAAATATTGACACAACAAATGGATCATCATCGTCATCATCAACATCATCAACTAATATAATTTCCGGCCAATCCGCCTGTCTCTTTCTCCCTTTCCCTCGACCTGACTCTCTCAAAGCAAACACCAAGCCCACCAAAAAGCATCTCAAAGTTAAACTGAAAACAAAAAGAAAGTTGCAGCAGTATTCAAAATGTCACTCACTCAAAAGAGTGTTCAAACAGAAGAGATGTCAACGACGATGAAACGACTTAAACACTAATTTTTTTGTTTGTTTGATGAAAAAGATTAAAATTAAACAAGAAATTGATTAACTTTTACCTGTTTGAATATCCCACTGTCTCTTTCTTTCTAGTAAAATTAGAATAAATGCTAATTTGGGTCTCACTTACGTCACTCGCTTTTAGCAAACATGAACAGAACGAAAGAAAGCGCCTAAGTGAGTCACCGAGGTAATGGAAACGAGCAGCCAGAAAAAAAACAAAACAAAAAAACTGACACAGCAAATAAACACACACTAAAAGAAAGTGAAATTAATAACATAAGTAGAAGTCGCTATTAACCTTTGGTAAAAGAAAGAAACTCTATAAAATATATTGAAATGCCGCTGACCTATTATGACGTAGGTATTTTTGCGCCCCCTAGCAGACAAATAGGGGCACAAAAAAAGTGGAGCGAGTGATTAAGAAAATTAAATGCAAAATTTGATAAAATGAAAACCTATTTTAAAATGGATACAGGATTTATAACAAAAATCAATCATACTTTCTGAAGGTCTGAGCATCATCGCAGTCTCTGCCGCTGCCACCAGTAAATTGTTGTTAAAGTGATGCTGCTGCTGCTGCTGCTGCAGTTGATAGGAATTACTGTGGCCCAAATTGGCAGACGTCAGATTACTGCTCTGATTGTTGTTGTTGTTATTAGTGTGTTTAGTTAAATCATTTAGTTGAACCATTTTAAAGTTCGTACGAAACAACTTGGTAATTAATTATATTTTAAAACAGGATGAAGTTGATGAGGTAGTACTAGCGGTAGTATTAGTTCAGTTATAAAAATAGTCAAAAAAGTAAAAGTTGTAAAAAGTAAAAGTGAAAAACTAGAAAAAATAGAAGACCTGTTTCAAAGACAGACAAGTTAAAAAATTATCTGATTCAGTCAAAAACTAAAACTTGTAAATAAGTGACAAAAATCAATTTATACAAACAGGAAAAAATTCGCCAATGACAGACTTTTTCACCAAAAAATTAGTATCCTGATAAGAAGTAAGAAACTGATAAACTGAGAAAGAGACTAAAGATGGAAAGTAAATAAATCAAACTGTGTCTGCCTTCAGCGATTTCAGAGCAGTTCAAAGTGCAGCAAATTTTTACTTTGATTTAGCACTAAACTTTGTTTTTAGTGCTAAACAACAGAGAAATGAGGCAAAAAGCCGCCAAAAGGGAAACCGGCCCAAACTGACAACATCAGTCAGTTGACATCTGTCAAAAAGATAGAGATAGCCCTGATAGCTGATAAGGCCCCAAAACTGCAATAGACAAAACTCCATTAAGGAAAAATAATGATGATCAACAGAACAGAACGGAACAAAACAAAAAGCGCTCAAGGAGACACTGTTGCTGATAGGAAAAAACAGTAAATGGACAATGAAAACAAATTCAGAAAAAAATAGTATTTTAAAAGTTAAAAAAATCCTTTTATACACATAGTAGAGTAGTACAAGTAGTAGAGTCACGTCGAACATACACAAAAGTTAAAATTAGTTTGTTTTA